TCCGGATAACATATCGCATGTCTTGCCCAGAATAATTAATCTTTTAGAACAAACTTTTTTTACAAAAAGACAAAAGAAAATCATTTTAGAAAATACTATCATAAATAAAAGATTAGATAAATATTAAAAAAAGACACATGTGTTAAAACAAGAAGCATATTATTATACGGCGTGTTATATTATATATATATATATTATATATATATATTATATATATAATGATTTTAAGATTTTATTGAAGCTCAATATCAATATATATTTACATATATGTATTTCAATAATATGAAATAAAAATATAAATAAAATTCTAAAGGGCATTCTTCTAGTATTTTTTAGGGTCTAGGCGCTAGGCAAACAAGCTGGCATTTTCCTAGTTTCCAAGTGTCCAATGCCATCTAATTATTATATATTATAAATAAATTAATTCACTATTACATATTATCAAATCAAGAATATTTATATATGTGATTCAATCATTAAAAAATTTAATAAATATCAAGAATTTTAATAATTAGCATTAAAAAAATAGTATTCACACTTGTTGCGGGCTAGAATATACGCGGCGATAGAGTTCTGTAAATTCACGTAACTTGAGCATTGTACTAATATTCAGTACACAAACAGAAAAGAAAAATGAAACCAGGATTTTTACGTGGAAATCCAAAAAGAGGGAACAAAAAACCATGGGGCCCATCGCTCAGTTGAAAAGTTATACTAGTGTGCGTAAATTATAAGAAGCTATTCGTCCCACAAGTTAGGACAATCAGATTTACAATAAAGTTTTTCTGAAATTGAAACAAAAGTTTCACGAAGTTGTGCGATAATCCCGGCGTTTCCCGAATGATCCGGGCAGGAGGTTTCCGGCGGTATTCATGGCTGGCGGAAAGAAACTCCGGCGGTGTCGAGGAGGAGCTGATTTCTTCCTTTTCCCCTTCTCTTCCCTTTTCTTATTCTCTCTTCTTCTTATTTGGGTTCCCTCTTGTGAAGAATGAGAGCTCTATTTTATGTTTTATGGATGGCATAGCTTGTGATAGATGTGAGATCGATGGCGAATAGGGAGTGATCGATGGAGGCCGATACTGAATTCTTCGATCGTGCATCGTTCGTTGGGACATTTGAAGAACTTAATGACTGTCGAAATTCGGTGATCTTGGTGTTCGTTGGATTTGCCTCGCCGAAGCCGTTCGATTCGAGCTATTAAGCTCTGTTAAAATCGGAGTCCGTTTAGTAACTCAAATTGTTGATTGTTGAACCTTTTCCAACAACGCTTCGTAGTCTTTCGATCTCAGATCATTTGGCCTCGATTGGTGAATTGGTGTTCGTTGGTTCGTATTTCCAAGACGCTCAGTTTGACTATTAAGCTCGCTGAAATTTGGAGTTCGGGTGCTTCCGGATTTTAATTTTTTAAAAGTTTTTGGGTGCGGTTTTGCATCAAGATTCGATGCCCAATCAGACCCAATTCATGATAATGTAATTCAAACAACCAGTTCAACTCAACATCAAGCCTTATCCCACTACGTGGGTCGGCTAACATGAATCCTTTTTCTCCATTGTGTATATTAAAGGTTAAATTCTCGTTTAAATCTAATTAAAGAAAGCGTCATTCCTAATATTTTTCTAACCAAGTCTTTTTAGGTCTACCCCTTACCTTTCTTAACATTAAGTCAAATCTAATACCGACCTCTACTCTCCTAACCGGTCATCACAGGTCGCCGTTTTATGTTGACAAACCATCTAGGGCCGACTTTCTCTAATCTTATCTTTATTGAGCTACTCCAAACCTTTTCACCTATATGCTCATTTCGTATCCTATCTCTAAGCGTAAAGCCACTCATCCACCTGAGCGATCCTCATCTCAACCACACTAACTTAGTATTATGCTATCTTAAAGGTCCAACATTCGGCACCATAAAGCATTGCTGACCTCACTACCATCTTATAGGAATTTTCCCTAAGTTGAGGGGGTACATTCTATCACATAAACAAGCCCGATGCATTCCTTCCACTTCAAACCAATTCCAACTTGATCTACTGATAATTATCCCCATCTATGTTCACCATCACCTTCTGACAATAAGATCTAAAATATCTAACACTGTACTCTTATTAATGACTTGATCGCCCAAAGTTACAATCCCCTCACTAGGTCTATTGCTACTAAAATTACACTCCATAATGATGTATCAACACTCATTATTTTAATAAAAATATAAAAAATAATAGTAATGTGATTTATTATTTATTTTTGAAATAAAGATAATGGGATTTTTTTTTTCTTATAATTTAGTTTATAATATTTTAATCAAATTTTTATTATGATACTTTTTTAAAAAATAAATATTAATTTTTTTTATATTACATTCAAAATAGTTGTTATTTTTTTTCTTTTTCATTTGCACCTTTAATTTTTTAATCTAAATATTGCTGCTCTTATAAAAAATTATGCATAAAATAATTTTAACATCACTTTTCTATATGGATCAGTCATCCACAGTTATTTGAAGAATTTTGTATTTTTTAGTGAAACTTAATGTTTCTTTAAATTTAATATTTAAATTCAAATAATATTATTTTTTGTTAAATTAAGCACCACAAAGGAGGTAAGGTTACCGCTATTCTTCCAACCCACGTGGGTTCCTCCGTAGTAGTTAAAGGAAGAGTAGATCTTGATTACAGCTTTCGCTGGAAGGTTCCACGTTTGACTGAACAAGTCTTGAATGTTCATTTTACATTTTATTATTTTTTTACACTTTAAATAAGTTAATGTCAGCTGTTATTTTTAAAAATATGGCTTATTTTTTCACAAAATTTAATATTTAATTAATAATTCAAAATTAATATTATTTGAATTATCATTTAGTTTATTTTGAATTAAATTATTGCTCTATTTTTAATTATAGATTAATCACAACTAAAACATTTATGAAAATAAAATAAAATTTCTCCCTTTTTCAATGAATTCAAACAATTAAAGCATTATTTTGCAAGTTTTTTTAAACTCTAATGATTTTCAAGTCAATGAAAAATTCTTTTATTATGAAAAAGTAAATGATATGTAACTCATCTTAATCGGCTGGTTGAGGGCTTTGAGGAATAAGAAAGACGTGTTAAATTCGAAGCTTGCATATGCGATGCGCATATACAGTTTATTTTGTGTTACGGTCGAATATGAGTTGTCATTTGATTATAATTCAATCTCTGCTTAAACGGATCATGTTTTAGCGAACTTGGACATTTTTTTATTAATGGTCATATTTTGATTAAACAAGTCATATTGATAATTGATATTAGAAAATAGCACAATCTATATAATAAATTGGTTGTATTAAGTCAAATATATTGAACCATATGATAAATAGATCGGATTTGGTTTAGTATATTCGGGTTGGGTTAACCTTAGATCTGACCCGAACCCAATTTCACACCTCTAGCAACAAATAGTGAATTTTACATGTTTATAGGCTGAAATGAAAAAAAAAAGGGGGGGGGGGAAAATAAACCCTAAATTACATGAAAGATTGAGTATCTCACCAACTCTTATTGACTTTTTTTTTTTTGAAATTGCTGTTTAGCTGCTTTTTGTGACCAATTTTAGGTAGGTCAGCCATTTTAGGTGCAATGTAATTTATGTCGGCTTAGATATTTGATCAGTCAAGCTGAACCTAAATTAGTATTTTATTTTAATTACTTGTAGGTCTAAAACTAGCCTTTATTCATGTGAGCCTAAATTCAACAGGCCAAAACCCATTTCTTATAACAATAATAATTATTATTTTCTTAAATAACATTTAGCCTTTGGGATTGCATCTTTTGAGGTAAATATTTTGAGTTTTATTTAAGCTTTTGAAATAAAATTGATATATCCTCAAAAAATTATCTTGATCGGGCACGAATCTTGAGGCAAAATCAACCTGGAAACTTCAAAAATTAAATTAGGGATCACATGAAGTACGATTTCAGCAAACTTATAGTCAAACTGAGTGTTTCAGAAATACGAACCCAACGACATCAAATTCAATTCAATCCGAGCCTAAATGAGTCGAAATCAAGGACCCGAAGCGTTGTTGGAAAGTTCAAACCATAATTCGAGTTACCAAACGGCTTCCAAATATGACGTTCTTATAGTCGAATCGAGTGGCTCGACGAGACGAATCCAATGAGCCCAAGATCGCCGAAAACATCATTAAGACCTTCAAATATCTGATAAACGGTGCATGATCAAGGGATTCAATATCGGTCGTCCATTCGACCACTCCCTATTTGCCCATGATTTCACACCTATTTACAAGCTATGCCACTCCAAGAAATCTATAAATAGACCCCTCATATCTCATGAGAGGGAGCCAAAGCAAGGAGAAGGCCCAAGCAAGAAGAAGAAGAGAAGGATATGAGGGAAGAAGCTCCTC